TATTATTGTCTGGAATGATTGTATTGAAATGTTCAAAACCCGAGAAAGATTGACTCGAGAGGAGCAGGCTGGTTTTCGTTCGGGTCGAGGATGTACTGCTCATATCTTCATCCTCGGCTAAATGTTAGAACACCGTCATACTTATCAAAGGCCAACAATCGTAACGTTTCTTGACATCAGGACTGCCTTCGATTCGTTGGATAGGACTGTTCTCTGGAATTGTCTACTGAAGAAGGGTGTGCATGAGAAGTTTATTAACATCCTAAAAGCCCTATATACAAACACCTCAGGCAGAGTGAGGGCATACAACCACCTCTCTCCATTGTTCCATTCGAGCAGTGGGGTTAGGCAGGGTTGCCCAATCTCACCATTCCTCTCCAACTTTGCCATCGACGACATTCTGGAAGCAGCTCTGATGGACGTAAGTAATGGTGGTGTGGATCTGTTGCCTGGAGAAAGACTTCTCGACCTTGAGTATGCGGATGATATAATCTTACTGTACGATGATGACCAAGCCATGCAATCTGCACTTAATCAGTTGGCAATCAATGTCCGTAGGTATGGTATGTGCTTTGCACCTCCGAAGTGCAAAGTACTTCTACAAGACTGGCAGGATTCTAATCTTGTACTCACCCTGGATGGTGAGCAGATAGAAGTAGTCGAGAAGTTCGTGTATCTGGGTAGCTGCATAAGTGCTGGTGGGGGTGTGAGTGATGAGATCAATGCACGTATAGTGAAAGCCAGGACGGCTTATGCCAGTCGTGAATTATTTGCCGATTCTGGGACTGGTTGGAAAAAATGAAGAGGTGGTCAGTGTATGACATGGTGTCGGGGTATGAAAGAAAGCTGCAAAGGACTGGCTTGTGTTGGTCCTTCACGACTTCCTGGCTGGGGTCCAAGAGACGGTGCAACACAGTGGCTAGAGATCTTATCAGATATGGCTCAGAATAGAAGCCAGTGGCAATCCTGCTGTAACCCTTTTTTAATTTCTTCACAAAATATAGTTGTTTCTTCCTTAACCGAAAGATTTTTTCTGGGTGTACCTTTCCGTTTCCCCCATCATTACTATTATTATGATTATTATTATTATTACACCACCTTACAGTAATCAGTTTTTTATTGCTTTTTTCTCTCTTTGAATCCTCATTGTTTTGTGCGGCACATATAGTTGGTGCTTTCTTGTACCAATATTTATGTGTTCAAATAAATAATCGAAATGGATACTGTGTATTACATAGTCTGTCGAAGTAGTCATTCTTTTACTAGCAAGTTGAAATACGTGAACGTCATATGCAGCGCTTGAATCGAGAATTGTAAAATGCATTGTTTATGGTGCCATTAATAATATTATAGAATTGTAGCCGAATCTTATGTTTGATAACTCGAATTTTATGCGCCGCTCAAGCATCTAGTTTTGATCTTCGAGTGAAATTAACGTCGAAAGACTTCATTCGATTTCGTCACTATTCATACTAACCACTAACCTTCTTAAACCTAATATAATGTGCAAATTACCAATATATATACACAATAATGTAGCTAAGTGTCGAGGTTTAAATAGCATGCAAAACAACGTAGCATTTCCAAATTTCAACGATCATTGTGTTGGCTTATTTCTTTTAAAAAAAGCCTAAGCGTTGAAAACTGCGTTGGAAAGTTATCTAGATGAACACCAAGTATATTTTTAGAAATCAGCGATCCATTCTGAGTTAATTTATGAGTCATATTACACCAGATAATAAAGAACACAAACACCAGAACAGTAACAAAATTGAGCCAGTTAAATATCCACAATTCCATTTCTTGTCTCTTCGCTTATTTTTGTGTTACGCTGAACTACTTAATTAATATTTAATAGCTTATGTCATTGTCAATAAATTGGAGTTTGCAACATGACGTTTCTCTACTGTTAAGGATTTGTATATATCACCGATGTCTTTACTCATTTTCTTATTTGTGATAGTATTTCACCCCACCTTTACGACTCGTTCTCTATTTTCCGTGTTTTTTTTTTAATTTGACGATTGGAAACAACTCCATCGATTCATGGTATGCGGCGTTCTACATAAATTTTTATGCGATTAGTCGGAGGACGCAATTCCTTATTGATTATCCTTTCGATGTATTACCAATTCTTGGATACCACAGAATTCAATATGTGTAAACTTATTGCTCATATTGTTTGCGTAATATTATCGTTATTCAGACAAATACAGTGTTTTGATTTACCCATCAGAATCTTAGAGATTTCATACCTTTGGGGATAATTTTGAATACTTATTACATTTTCCGTTGATACCTTATTGCATCACAACTAGGATGTATTATAAATAAATACAATAGAAATAATAACTAAGAATGATATTTTTAAAAGGATAACTTTTATTATTTTGAAATGTATAATGGAAAACAAACAAATATATACTGTGATGGACAATTTTCGGGACCGTTGTGGTGTTATTCTGGCTGTAGAAGTTCAGGTTTACAACGGGTCAGAGGGGAGGACAGTCCTGCATTATGCTTTTAAAACTTCACTGAATTAAGAATGTTCAGTAACTCAGTTCATAATAGTTATTATGTTCGAAGGACTGATTATATCAGTGACAACATCATGCTAGTATAGCTGAGGTCTGGCAATGTGTGTTCGGGCGCAGTGACGACAACTCAATTGATGTCACTATCTTGAAATACCGAATTCGGTGACTTAAACATATTATATAAATGTTATCCCAACAACTTCCGCACTATGTATTAAGTGCCTATAGTGGCACTGAGTGAAAAAGGTGGAAGGATCGTCAGCTTATAACATGGCGCCATAGTGTGAAAGAAGGATTATATGACTATTATCACAACCTCCAGGTTAAGATCCTAGAGATAGCCCAAACAGATTAAATTTTTCTCTACATTCTTCATAAAAGCAAAACGAAATCACTTTATTGGAAGAAATTCTTCCCCGTTATATTTTTAACTGGACTATAACTCAATGCAACAGGTCATCGACCAAATGATAAGTGCACGCGATTGGCCAAAACTTGACATTTTTTAAGGAATGGGGCACATTCCATTGCTGAAAAAGTGTGACTTAAATATATATATATATATATATATATATATATATATATATATATATACTTCCATTCACCCCCCTTGCAAACCGTACTTCTCGTCAATAATATTTCTTTATTCCTTGTAGTGTATATTATTTTTGTGGCCAGCTTTAAGACGATTTTGTCATATAAAATAAAATAAAACACTTCTAAACAAAGCGACCACAATTAAGGGGTTAGATTTTCCATTTGGTGATATTAGGGACTGAGATCGACTGGTATCTACTGTTATATTTCCATCCTTGACAGATCGCAACGATGCTAACCTTAGTTGTAAATTGAATAAATGGTTGAAATAAGGTTAACAGTTAAAATCTAGGAAGTGTGTTTCGTCCTATTTGGGATTTGTCAGGTGGATGTAGTACCTACACCCCAATGTTGATGTTCATATTGATTACAATTCAGCAACAATGACTTTGAACAACAACACGATATTCACTAAGCTTCTTACTCTAAACAATCGATAACCTGTTCAACAAGTATTGAGACATTAATAAAAGTTTGTAATTTGCTGTTATTGAGATCAGGACTGAAATTGACCGGTCTCTGTTGACATACTTGCATCCTGAGCAAATCTCATTTCGCTACAGGTCTTAGTATACTCGAATCAATTATCCATACTTTGAAAAGAAAATGTTGAAAATAATCCACAGACTTACATTCAAAATCATATTCCAAATAATCACGAACAGCTTTAGTTGCTCGACTAATTAATGAATTATCATTAACTGAAGAATTTGATATGTCAGTTGCTGTTTCATTTTTTTTAATTGAATTATTTTTATCTTGTGAATTTTCTTCCATTTTGAAAGTGATGGAAATTCTAAATCATCTTGATATAGATAAGTAAATAAATAAAATGATATCACTTACTTAGAGTCTGATAAGCAAACAATATCTAGCTTTAAAAACTGTAATATGTGAACATGGATGTTGAACTCGATAACATTACCATTACATAGAGTAGCTAAATATAGAGTTTTAAAAAAAGATAAGTAAATACTAACCTTGTTAAGATGATATGAGAAGCTTCAGAGCATCTCCCCACCGATTATTTAGAACCAAGGAAGCTTCCGATACTATTAATAGGCTAAATCCAGATTTCAGGTTGAACTATGGACAATGTATACTTATATACCAGAAAATAATAATTAGTCTGTTTGAGCGGTGTATGAAGAACAGTTTTAAGCAAAACAGAAGTCAATGACTAAAATGACTAAGGGTTGTGTAGCTTAAAACCAATGAATCTCAAATCGGTTATGTGTTGCTATAGATGGGTAACAATTCTAGTATATTAGTTTAGTTGGTCTAGACAACATCCAAGATTTTTAAATCACATCAATGTACACAATGATAAGTTAAACAGTGTCATTAAAAAATCATATTTGCCTTTCATATTTGCTATTTAAATCAAAATATCAACCGAACAGTGAGTGTATGATTTAATCATTATGAGTTTTTTTCAACATTACTTCCCCATCTAATTCAATGTGATGATCATTCAGGCATTAAAAAGAAGAATATATTTGTAAAATCTCAGCAAATGAATTTTAAGTAAATCCAACGTTTCGTCTGGCAATCTAGTCCAAGCTTTTTCAAGGAAAATATAATCAAACAACAAAATTATCGAATATAAATAGGTACAAGGTTCTTTGATACAGTAAACCGAAGAACCTTGTATCTATTTATATTCGATAATTTTGTTGTTTGATTATATTTTCCTTGAAAAAGCTTGGACCAGATTGCCATGCGAAACGTTGGATTTACTTCAAATTCTTTCTCTGAGATTTTACAAATATATTCTTCTTTTTAATGTCTCAAATGAACTCGGTGCCTAAATATTGTGAAACTATTCGTTCAAATTTAGACGAAAGTTCTGATTGATGATCATTCAGTGTAGTATTTGATTTGTTTTCCCAGTATAATATTTACTTCTGTATAATGTACGATATTCTTGTATGCAGTTTATATGAACTATGCTCAGTAAGTGGTTTGTTATAACTGAGTATGTGATCTACTCCTAATTATTAATCAAAATGGGTGTACAATCAATATATAAACTAATGTATTTTAGACTATTGTGATTTATTATTATTATCATTCGTCGTTATGGTGTTTAGAGGCTAATAAATTTTCACGTATACCAGTTTTGTCTTCTTACTTTCCCATCTTGGGAATTGCCGAAATCCCTCGTTCCGAGTATAAATGATCAGCGTTTTTCCGACACAGCAATCAGCGACGACCAAATATAACAGTTCAACTACTATACTCAATTACTAACACACGGTAAGAAAAATGAATTTTTTTTAAAAACTCCCAAGCTTTCACAATACATACTATCAATATAATCTATAACAATTCAGACAAACAAACATACAACAAAATCATTCAAGTAAACGAAATAATTAGAAGAGAACACATTGACAGAACTCGAAATTAAGCTAATTCTCTATATTTTCTTTCATTTCAACAGAAAAATAAAATGATACTAAAAAACGACATAAGAAGTAAAATGAATATGAATTTGTTTTCTAAAAAAACAAAAAAAGTTATCTGATGTGCACAGGTTATAGTATATATACATTTAAGCGAGCGTGTGTGTGTGTGTGCATAGGTACATATACAATCAACCGAAAAATAAGTATCAACATAAGAATCTTAATTACATGGATCTATTTGTTTATTTCTTCCGATTTAAAAATGATTGAATGCTTTGTTTGGTATCATTGAATTGTAAATTTTTTACCATCGCATCTGAAGCTATTGCATAAGCGTCCATTAATGGCATAGAAGCCTGTTAGGTTAAAAAAATAAAAACAAAATGAAAACCCAAATAAAACATTAATAAGAGGGGTCTGTGTTTAACTATTGTCGATACCAGGGACTATTGATGCCTTCTAATGCAATAATACAACCGAAAGTTGGAACAGTCCGCTCCACCTCTCAAAATGCTCTCATATACAACGATATGTATACAGTCACTACTAGGGAAGTCCTACGCACTGCTTTCTCGTGGAGAAAATTGAGGACAAAAATCGAATGTCCCACCAGTTTGGTGGGTACGGAGGATCCATCTAGGACATTTGGAAAACACGGATTCCAAACCAATGGTATACATGGGCTTCAGGATCCTGAGGGGACAAATGGCGTATGAACCCATACTTGATCACTGGGTGCCATAAAACTGCATCTCCTTACGCTAATCCACTGCCTTGTGGATTAGATCTATAAACCAAAGGTTCAAATGATAGATCTCTGAGAAAACCATCTGCTTCGGTTTGAGCGCCACGTAGCATCCAAGCCCACAAACATGAAATGATGATTGCGATGCATATATATTTTATTGTCCCTTTATATAAGTCTTCTAACTGAACGCTTGAATCGGTTTCTCAAGTTCTTCTAATAACCTCAGGTTAAATCTAAACGGCGACTTGAATACGAGGGAAAACGAGGTAAGGAAAAGTAAGGGTATTTATACTATTACAGGCGGCCTTGGGCTTCTGGAACCATACCAACTGTAGCAGTTCCACGGGTAATTATCCAACCCAAGCCGCAGCATATGCTTCTGTTTTTCAGATGTTTCTGCGAAGATTCCATTCGACGCCGATCGGACAGCAAACTTGCTGGGATTTCTGGACCACTAGGGACTCGTCGAGAGATATTTCTGGGACTATCCTTACATCTTTATACCAATATTTGCGTTTAAATAAATCAAATAAATAAAAAAGCACTGATAAGTTTATCTATGCCGCTAAATGTGTATCATTGAAGCGGATTGTCTTGATGCAGTATTACGTGACAAGTTTCAGTACATTTTGTACATATCAAGCAGTAGACACCACGGAGCGCGTTTGCTGAATCAAACTGGGATATATATAACAAAACTTGCATAATTTCATTAATGTCATCTAATATGGAATAGGTGGAATGTGACTAGCAGTAGGACGAAACGCGCATCCTGGATTGCACTGTTAGCCACATTCCAAATATTCTACATTAATAAATTGGATAATTATCGAGCCAGGATAATAAAAACATCATCAATCACTTTGTAGGCTTCGCTTAGAAGTCTCAAAATAGCCTCGATTAGTTGAAGTAGTCTTAGTACCTAGCTTCTAGAGATTTTACTGAGGAATTATTGAGGACAGTCAATATTAGAAAATCAAATCCAAATATAATATATGTGATCGAGACTTTATTATTTTTAAGGTACTGCAAATGATTCCAAACCGTTTCTCGTAGGTGCAAGTCGTCAATTTTACAAAATGACATATGTACAAGAACAACGAAAACAGATACTTAAAACGTTTACACTCCTTTGTTAAGTTAGTCAGCATTGAAATATATAGTCATAGATTTAAAACAAACTATATGGACTTCTATCTTAGCGCTCATTTAATATCGTCCGATTATACATGATACATGGTAGTTGAAATATATGCACTATAATTTTGATCCAAAGTCAGTATCTATCTCCATCTATCAGTTGATTAAATAGTTCATAATTGAGTAACTATTTCCAATTGCATGTATCTGATTATCAACAAAACTTGATGGATTAATGCTTCACACAATAGTCCACAGGAAAGAAAATCATCTAATAGAAGCGGTACGATGCAGAAAAATACTTAATCATAGAAAAAAGCAAGATTATTTATTTCCAATAAACTTACTTGTTTGTGAAGAGTTTCTCGACCTAACTGTACAACATCTTTATTATGTTGAGTAATTTCTTTGGCGAATTCAATAGACGCTTCATATAGTTTGTCATCTTCAACTACACGATGAACGAGACCCAATTCGTAGGCTCTATCAGCACTGATAGCTCTGCCTAAAAAAAGTTTTGTTTCTCTTTAGAAAAACGTCAGGGAACAGGATTTTTATAGGACTGAATACATTGCTGAAAAGTCATACGAGCAAAAGTGTAAAATTATTTGGTTGGAAAGTTTGTGGGGATTAGTTCAATTTAAAGATATTTTCATCAAGGCCTCACATTACCTAGTGCAATTAGTGACTGGTGAAATCCCAACACGGATGTGAAAATCCCGTTTTTTCGTCATTTTGTGTCGCCACTTATGGAGATGAGATATCCACTTGTCTATCGAAAGACAAGCATACTTGTTATGAACGGAGAAACAAAAAAGCTATGACAAACAACGGAAGTTATTTTCGCGGTGTTATTTCACTTAATTCAAAGCTTGTAAAACACTAACATTTAGTTTCGTCCCTAGTTAGTATATAAACCATAAGCTTTCGTTTGATGTATGACTAACTGCCATAACTTTTTCTATTCCAAAGCCATTGCAATTTAAACGTAACGTTTGGTACTCTATTTTTCTACCCTAATGACCAGCTTGAACGTAATTGTATTTTCCTAATTGTTTGTACGTTGTGGACATTTCAGACATCTATTTATTCGTGTATATTTTTTTACGCTAATGTGAATTGGGAATCGGAAATTATTCATGTAGTGTTCCAGTTGACTCGTCATTTCTCTCGCTTGTCAACCAACCAGGTGATAGAATAGTTTTTCGCCTCTCTCTACTTAAGGTCGTTAGTCTCAACTGGGACTTACGCATTTCTAGCCTCAAGGTTAAACCAGTTGACTTATCATGTTAAAGCCTTAACCTATCTCGAGACAACTTCTCTCCTGTATGTTATTGATTAGACAGACCAAAGACGTAACAAAAGTGGCAACAGAGAATTTTTGTTTCGATTGCTCCGGAACAAAATGTCTACATCATTGGACGACCTTAAAACTATTCTACAAATTCAGCAAGCGCAGAATGATGCGAATTGAATGAAGCTTTCGAACGCATTGACGCAGAAGCTCTCCTTTCATTAAACTTCAACCTCTCAATCAGATAAATATGAAAGCATTTCAAATTCCATTTGTGGACTCAGCTATGATCCTGAATCTGGTATCATATTCGATTCTTGGTTTCATCGTTTCGAAAACATATTCCGTGTCGAATGCTCAAACCCCGATGACGCAGTTAAAGTTCGCTTACTCCTGAGAAGACTTGGAACACGTGAATATAATAAATATGCGAATTTCATCTTTTAATAACACAGCCCAAATATTACCTAAAATTTCTTGGGAACAATCCTCATCATTCAACATTCGCAACCAGTAAATAAAAACTTTCGTCTAAATTTGAACAAATAGTTTCACAATATTTGGGCACCGAGTCAATGTGAGACAATAAAGAGGAAGAATGTATTTGTGAAATCTCAGCAAAAGAATTTGAAGTAGATTCAACATTTCGAATAAGAATATTCGATAATTTTGTTGTTTGATTATATTTTCCTTGAAAAAGCTTGGACCAGATTGCCAGGCGAAACGTTGGATTTACTTCAAATTCTTTCTCTGAGATTTTACAAATACATTCTTCCCCTTTAATTCGCTACCAGTGTTTTGAAATAAAATCCTATCCAAGAATTATCTCACCTATGTTGGAAAAGTAAATCGAGAGTGTGAATTATTTAAAATAAATAAAATTACAGCGGATCAATTTAAATGTCTGATTTTTATCTATAGATTAAAGAATCCAGAAGATATGGACATCCGCATTAAGCAGTAATCGAACACGGCTTTGCAAATGGTCACAACCGAGTGTCAACGTTTGTTAAATCTTAAATACGGTATCGCAATGGTGCAACACAAGGCGAAACTGTTATGTTCTTAGCTTATAAGATTACCGCGAATACGATTGCCAAATTTATATACGCGGACTTATACAACCAACAAATGACGCATACACCTGAACGAACGGCCTCGAGTCTCGACTGGCCCTTTTCCCTACCTGTTAATTACAGAACACAAATCTCATCCTCCGCGATATGAATCGTATATTCCAAATATACTGGGTTTATATATAAGCTAAATATACTACATCACACCATAAATAGAAAATAACAACTGTATAAGATCAAGCCAAGAAGTGGCTGTGATTGCGGTTGACTGTAATCAATAAACTGGATATAACTTAAGAACTTAAGTCGTATGATGATAGTCTATAGGTCAAAATAAAGCTTATAATAAGAGGTATATGAATATACATAGTTTGATTACTTAACAATTAAAAAATATAAACGTTATTAGTCAATAAATAGATTCCAACAGTTACCACCCATTATTCTCGTCGTGATATAACGGAAGCATTCCGATTTCGGTCCAGTTAATGCAGTTAAATCCTCTAAATCTCTCAAACAAAGCATAGCAAGTGCATAACAACCTGCTGACAAACCACCATCACTATGTTGGTTTTGTGGAGCATGGCATTTTGTGAAATTATATCCATTCAAGAATCACAAGTGCCGCCATTGTCATCGCATTGGTCATAAAGGTCACTGCCCAGCGAATAAACGCCAGTCGAAATTTCGTAGCGGGAATACGAAACAAAATTCATGGAGCCAAATCAAGGAAGTATGTAAACTAATTAGTGAGTGGAAAATCTATTCGTCTTCGGTTAGACACGGCCTCCAACGTTACATTGATTTTTAAAAACACGTAACGTAAGCTAGGATGCCCACGCATTCAACTAACCGAACATGTTGCCCGAAATGCACCAAGAGATATAGTGAAGCTAACTTAAGTCATGTGCGAGGTAAAGTTCAAATAACATAAATTTGATAACGTTTGTTATCTGACGTTTCTGCCTACGCTCCCACTGACTGCAGCTCAGATGAAGTGAAAGATGAATTTTACAGAAAGCTGTCCGAACTTCTTCAGAAAGCTAAACGCTCAGACATAGTACTCGTAGGGGGTGACTTTAATGCTCAGATAGGTAGTTTAAACCAAACAGAAAGGCATTTAGGTGAATATTTTAGTATTCCGACACAGCAAACAGATAATGGTGATGGTCTGCTGCAACTATGCTCAGACAATCGTTTATTTTTAGCAAACACAAATTTTAAGAATAAGGAGAGACATCGTCTAACATGACGATCCCCTACACCAAACCAACGATGGACTCAAATAGACCATATTGCCATCAGTCATCGTTGGGGAGGGTCGGTACAAGATTGTCGCTCATTCTGGAGTACCTGCTTGGACTACGACCACGCCCTAATACGGGCACGCATCTGCTTGCACCTCACTGGACGCAAAAAAGCCACATTAAAAAGACCCGTTAGAACTGAGTTGAGTAACGAGAAAACCAAAAGTAGGTTCCGGGAACAACTGAGGTTACAATTAGGTAGTTCTGGAAACGAGGTTGACCCAGATGTTGCTTGGAAAGCTATACAAACAGCTGTGGAAACAGCAGTAACATCTATCAGTAATTTAAACCACAGGGTTACAAAGAACCAATGGATTTCCTCAAGGTCTATTGCACTTATGGATTCTCGTAAACTCATCCCATCAGGCTCTGAATACGATGAAGAGCGACAACAAATCAGATCTAGGTTAAGCAAAAGTTTAAGGAACGACCGTGAGCAGTGGTGGGCAACGAAAGCAAAAGAGACGGAAAAGGCGGCGGCTATAGGGAACACAAGACAGCTCTACAGACTAATAAAAGAAACTGGAACTAATAAGTCAAGTGTAAGTCAGACTATTTCGGAAATAGATGACACCCTCATCTGCTCTCAGTCCAAACGTTTAGAACGATGAGCGGAACATTTCAGAGAACAGTTCAACTGGCCTTCAGCTACTCCACAACTACCCTCCATTCCGAGACAGTGTTAATGGAACATTGAAGTAGCCCCCCCAACCCTTGCTGAAGTTCAAAAGGCTATAGATAATCTGAAACGAGGAAAGGCAGCTGGTCCAGATGGATTGGCTCCAGAAGTCTTTAAGGATGGTGGTCCAATTTTAGCGATTAGGTTGACTAATATTTTAACTAAGATCTGGGAGTCAGACGTTATCCCATCTGACTGGTCGCAATCACTTATCGTCTCAATATATAAGAAAGGGTCAAAATCATCCTGTAACAACCACAGAGGGATTAGTTTAACTAATATAATATCTAAAATACTAGCCTCGATAATCATAAAACGCAAACACGAGAGAACCAAGCTGGCTTCAGACCTGGTCGTGGCTGCATCGACCACATATTCACCATTCGTCAGGTTCTAGAACACAGGCATACTTATCGGCGTCCGACAATGGTGATCTTTCTTGGCTTAAAAGCAGCATTTGACTCTGTAGACCGCGAGGTTCTGTGGCAGTGTCTGTCATTGAAAGGCGTACCCCAGAAGTACATAAACCTTGTAAAGGCTCTTTACTCGAACACTACTAGACGAGTCAGGGCTTATGGTGAACTGTCATCTACTTTTGCAACCTCAAGTGGTGTTCGTCAAGGCTGTCCACTTTCTCCATTTTTGTTTAACTTCATCATAGACCTACTGATGGAAATAACTTTCTCGTCGACTGAATTCTCGGGTACTGATCTCCTACCAGGAGGCCCACTTATCGACTTAGAATACGCAGATGACATAGTCCTGTTTGGTGAAGACGCGGACAAAATGCAGTCTTCTAGTAGCACTAAGCAACAATGCCAGGATGTTTGGAATGCGCTTCTCTCCCTCTAAATGCAAGTTGTTGCTTCAGAACTGGGCTGCGTTAACACCTGAACTAAGGATAGGGAGTGAAGTAGTCGAACGCGTTGACAACTTCACTTATCTTGGAAGTCTGATCAGCCCTAATGGGTTGGTATCGGACGAAATCTCAGCACGGATTCGAAAAGCTCGTTTGGCTTTTGCCAACTTACGTCACCTTTGGCGAAGGCGAGATATCCGTCTATCAATAAAAGGACGAGTATACTGCGCGGCAGTCCGTTCTGTTTTACTTTACGGCAGCGAAACATGGCCTTTAAGAGTAGAAGACACCCGTAAGCTACTAGTATTTGACCACAGATGCCTTAGAAATATCCCTGGCGTCTGCTGGGATCACCGGGTAAGTAATAGTGAGGTTAAACGCAGGGTACTAGGGAATGATGGTAAATCAGTTGATGAGTTTGTTAATCTTCATCGACTGAGATGGTTGGGTCACGTGTTACGTATGCCCGAACACCGATTACCACGACGTGCAATGCTAACCGGTGTAGGAGATGGTTGGAAGAAAGTAAGGGGCGGCCAAACCAAAACGTGGCATCAGTGCTTGAAGTCACTAACTTCTAGTCTGAGCCATGTTTGACAGATGCAGACTACTTGGTTGGGATCCATGTGACTATCGTAACCAATGGTTGGAGACTGTATGTGACATGGCTCATAATCAATCACAATGGCGTCGGTGTATACACTCTCTGTCTTCTCTTAAACTAAGAGATTAAAATTGCTTCATATCTTTCTTTCTACGAACTAATTCTTTCTTCCTGTACTATATCCTTATTGCAATCTTTCTTTTATATATTACCACCTCTGAATTAACTGCTTATATGAATCCGGCGTCCATCTTGTTGTGTTAATGAGGTATGGCAACTTGGACAGATGCATATATGTGCCTGGTCCTACGTTGTAGCTGACTAACTGACTGTTATCTGACGAGTCGGCATGATTTAGATCTAGTAGGTTTAGACTGAATTGAGAAGAATGCTACTTTGAATAGTTTATCCAACAAGGTATGTTCTCATAAGCCTTCCTCTGAAACTATCCAAATTTCTCGTAATATTTCTGAGTCATACATTACGGCCAGATTACTAGCAGCAAACTCAAGGTCTGAGGACAAATTCGTACAACTAAATGTACGAAGGTGTGACAGTAGCAAGTAATTTCTCTCAGAAAACCGATATCTGAAGCAATTTCGCTTCCCCACAATGAAAGAAGGTCAAAAAAGATCGACCTTATAAATACCACCACTTACCTTGCTCCATAGATTTCCGCCATCGGTGAAGACTTTATCATTACGAACCTAACACTTAACTATTCATAAACAAGTTGTGAAACCACTAAGATATCGCTTCTAATATCTAGTAAATGCTAGTTAAGCTTTAATATTTGATCACAGAAACTTAGTTGAGAAATTTTACGGAATACTTTCTGACAACCAAACTAATTACAGGTGTAGAAAGGATGTAATTTTGATACATATTAAAAGCTTTAATGTACGAAAAATGTTATTTCCTTTGTATTGAACTCATCATCACTTTGATAGGCATCTATTTCAGTGAAGCTGAAAGTCAGCACAAAGAACCGGACATAGTTTTCCCTTCTTTAATTGATGAATCATTATCCACCAGGCTATAAGTCAGTCAGTCAATCAATGTACAGACGTGTACATGCATGTTGGCCCAAGTCGCTATATTGTTAGCACGACGAGAGGAAATCAATAGGACGAGTAGCAAATAAGTTGAAATGATGTGACAGCAGTGACGATGAGAGAGATCAAGCGTTGAGAACATGGTTCGAAAAGATAGAAAGAAATGAAGTAAATCCACCGGAGCCATTTTGATCAATCCTCAGCCAAATCACCCAACGTCTCCAGCACAAAATCGCTAATCATTTGTTGCTAGAATCGCGAGGATGTCAATCAGGTAGTCTGCATCTATCGGCAAGATTCGGAACAGTCAACAGCTTCATGGTCTGTTGTTACATATTGGTTTGACTGCTAGTAGCATCGTCCTAACCATTTCTGTACTAGCAGGCATCGTTTATCGATGTAGGCAGAGGCTCAATATATATATTACATATCAAAACCATCCCAGTTGATGACTTACAACCTAACCAATCGATCTGCTACATTTGCCTTATATTCTGTGCTTAATCTAAACATTGCTCACTAGTCATTCCGCGTAAAGATAGAAATGCTTCGAAGGCAACTATGATAAAAAAATCTTTAGCTTATGTATGTCTTCTACTCTTAAAGAACATGTTTCGCACCAATAGAGTAATATAGAATGGATTGGTACATATATATATATATATATATATATATATATATATATATATATATATATATATATATATATATATATATATATATATATATATATATATATATATTGATTACCTGTTAAAAGTAGTTCATTAGCAGCTCGTAATCCGATCGCTCGAACTAATGATACAGCAGGTGTACTGCAGAATAATCCTAGTTTAATACTACTGGCTGAAAATATCGCAGATTTGGCTGATATTGCTAAGTCACAAGCTGCAACTAATTGACAACCTCCAGCGACAGCAGGACCATTTACAGATGCTATCGATGGTATAGGAAATTCAGTTAATTTCTCCATAATCTATTAATTCAGAATTTAAACAACAAGTTCAGGATAAATCGATTTGTCTGTAAAAAGACCTGATGAAACAATGCTTATTTATTTATTGGTTGAAAACAAAGACTTTTGTAATCAACTTCACATTCTATACTTCTTTTCACGACAATTAATTGATAACTGAGTAGTGACCAATGTGATGTATTTCAAATCTCTATTTAGTGCCGATGGAATCCTATCAAACAAGTTGCAATGTAGCCTCTAGTCTAAGCAACTCGATATCCCGCACACTATGTTGAGATGTAAGGTGATGGTTGGAGTTAATCGATGGGAAACACTGGATATTTGATACTTTCGCACAAGGTGTATCTGTAATCTTAAGACAACTTATGCTCCATGGTGCTCAATCAATTGTAAATACGCCTCAAGCCTGCTGGTTATTCGCGGCGCGGATAGCTCAGTGGCCACGTCTCTGACTGTGAAGCTGGATGAAGCGAGAGCATCAGTCCCCTTAAGGTTAAAGGTACACGTTGCTTACGAATACCAAACAGCACGAAACTTAGGTCCACGGTTTCCCGTCAACTATACTCAACCATTACCTCACACTTTCTTCTCGAAATATCTTTGATTATGTAGCGATGAAACATTTCTATCAAACAAAGACATTGATAAAAAAAGTTCCCTAGATTTGCTGAAGCAACATTGAATTATTCAAGGCATACGCTTATGACCTTGTTGTAGGTTAAGGCTGAATAAAGTATGGAATTTTCTGAGTTCGAGGGATTGGGAGATTTTTTCAAAACAAAACGGGGTCTATGAGAACTAGACAAATCGGATAACCAATACATAACACTTCAGTCATTATCGCACCGTACGATGGATGAAATATAATAGAAGTCTTGTGAAAAAGATGTACTGTTCAAGACCACAGAATAATTTAATTACATTCGAGTTAATTGAATTATATATCGATTATTGAATACAAAATTTATCAAAATTATTAATCGTCACTTCAATGTAAAAATACAGCGCATTAATATAATGGAAATGCATGGAAAACAAATTAACTGCATACTGTGTAAATCGATACATGAAAATCGATGAGCGAAGTTCACCGAAAACCAATGTGACTTGACCTTTTCCTACGTGTAGTAGCACTTACGGATTTAACATCTTCAACAATATTATCAATTGAAGATGATTTCTTAGAACTGGTTTTGACTATAGGGACTTGAATAACTGTGTTTATCATATTATTACTTTAGCTATAAAGATAGATTCATGTGAACTGGTGGTACATGAAAGCTTTACAAGTAAACAAAAGATTTAACTAGTATTTATCACTTTGCATGGTCTACACTCATAATATGATAACAAAATTTTAGCAAAATAATGGTGTATACCACAATAAATTACTCTACTTTACTACATGGCGTTAAAAAGTTCAGTGGATTTGGTACTCAGCGGTTTTTCCACACAATACTGACATTAAGTTAGGCCATAGACGTAAAACACAAGACAACAGATGTGTGCTGATTTATATAGTTTCAAACCATCAATCAAAATGAGTAAATTACTTCATACACCATACATATAAGAAAACCCATTGTTGTCCAAGGTGACCACGAAGAGAAACTATTAGGAAGGTGAATTTTAGACGTGACATTAATTCATGAAGTCGTTAACTACTGCCTTGAGATATGTTAGAAATGAGGTAGTTCCACAATATGGTTGAAGGTTAGTTCTTGTGTGACAAAAACATGTTTCTTATTATATGCAAGTAGCTAACCATTTCATTATTATAACCTTATCTAACTACTTTGTACTTCCGTTTTACTTTTAAGTCACCACTTCATTTTCTTTAATTATCTAGCTCAGGAGTGTGAATAAGTGAAACCAAACATTATTGCAAAAGGTTCTGTGTCGACTTGAATGAATGTAATATAGCAAGTGTAAGTTAATGAAGTCAGCTTTGTGCCACATATTTTTTATATCTACTGATACTACCCGGTTGATCAAATCAAATAGGATGTATATGAGTTTAATCATCCACATTTCCTTAAGCAGTATTGTACAGAATTAAGAATATTTAATAAGTTTAGATAATCAGTAAGCTTAGTAGTCATCACTCTGAGTCATATACGAACATTATAAACTCTTTTGCGGTGATATATGAACTTCCTAAAACTATTTGTCCGGATATTGTTAATATTGTCACAATATTGTGTTGAAAATGCGCTACACGAGGTAAGATGACAACATTATAAGAGAACGGTAGGGGTTAAACAACCAACGAAAAAAAAACATGAAGTGTATATTAAATAATTTGACTGAGTCATATCTAATAACGTCGCGATTGAATGAGTCGCACACAATTTTCAGTCCCATACAGAAGGCCATTATGAGTCAACGACCTCTAACCCAGTACAATTATACTTCATTGCACGTTTAAAACTGACCACTGCGTTGCTTTGCCATTCTGCATTAGTGACGTCAAACGATACATGATTTGGAATTCTTTGACGTGAAATGCATGAAAAGCGATCAAGCCATCAAAATCCCGTGTTCCGAGATCTTAACACCAGTCGAATTATCATGTTAGAACACGAATATCCGGACCTCAGTATTGACGTAGTTCACTAAGTGTAGATTTCTGTCAGTCAGTCAGTAACAACGTAGAACTTAGTACGTACGTACATCAGTTCGAGTTGCCATACCACATTAGCACAGAGATGCAGTGGTCGATTCAAATCCCGTAGTGGTAGAGGTAGCAAGAGTATAAGCAGTAATCGGGAAGATTAGGGTTTGGAGATGTTATTTAACGAGTATAATTCAGTGAAATAAATTTGGAAAGAGGAAAAAAAAGGGGCATGAAGAATTCAGATAATTAGAATTTGGGAGAACATAGAGAGTGGATGCACCTGCGCCATTGCAAACGATTTTGAGCCATGTCATTCAGGGTCTCTAACCATCGGTTGCTATCATCTCGCGGTCCCCAACCAGGTAGTCTACACCTACCAACATGACTCAGTTCACTTGTCAGTGACTTCATGGACTTAAGCCATGTTTTGGTCTGGCCGCCCCTAGCTTTCTTCCAACCTACTCCTATATCACTGAACATCGCACGTCGAGGCAGTCGGTCGTTGGGCATATGTAACACGTGTCCCAGCCATCTCAACTGACGAAGTTTCAATACGTCATCAATTGATTTGCCATCCTTACCTAGTACCCGTTTCCTAACAGCTGCGTTACTTACTCGGTGGTCCCAGGATATACGAGCAATACTTCGAAGACACCTATGATCAAATACTAGTAACCTACGAATATCCTCTACTCTTACCGGCCATGTTTCACAGCCATAAAGTAGGACGGAACGAACTGCTGCGCAGTAAACACGTCCTTTGGTTGACAGACGGATATCTCGCCTACGCCATAAATGACGCAAGTTGGCAAAAGCTAGTCGAGCCTTCTGTATCCGTGCTGAGATTTCGTCACACACCAGACCACAAGGGCTGATGAGACTTCCAAGATAAGTGAAGCGGTTGACACACTCAACTACTTCACTCCCTATCACTAGTTCGGGTGTCGATGTAACCCAATCCTGAAGCAACATTTTGCATTTCGAGGGAGAGAATCGCATCCCGAACATGCTTGCATTGTTGCTTAGAGTGGTCAGAAGACTCTGCATTTTGTCAGCGTCTTCACCAAATAAAACTATGTCATCGGCATATTCTAAGTCGACAAGTGAACCTCCCGGTAGAAGTTCAACCCCCGGAAATTTAGATGAGGAGAGTGTTATCTCTAAAAGTACGTCAATGACAAAGTTGAACAAGAATGGGGAGAGTGGACAGCCCTGACGAACACCACTTGAGGTAATCAATTCTGATGACAGTTCGCCATAAGCTCTCACTCTACCAGTTGTGTTCGAGTAGAGAGCCTTTATAAGGTTAATGTACTTCTTTGGTACTCCTTTCAGTGACAAACACTGCCATAGAACCTCACGGTCAACAGAGTCGAATGCCGCCTTAAGATCGAGAAATACTACCATTGTGGGGCGTCTGAATGTGTGTCTGTGTTCTAGAACCTGACGTAGTGTGAATATCTGATCTATACAACCACGTTCAGGTCGAAAACCGGCCTGGTTTTCTCTAGTTTGCTCTTCACGAGCTTTGATTAGGCGTCGAAGTATTATTGAAGCTAATATTTTAGACACTATATTAGTCAAACTGATTCCTCTGTGATTGTCACAAGAGGACTTTTGTCCTTTCTTATAAACTGGCACAATCAGTGATTGAGACCAGTCAGATGGGATTACGTCCAGTTCCCAAATTCTACCTAAGACCTCGGTTAATCTCATTACTAATACTGGACCACCATCCTTAAAAATCTCAGGAGTAAACCTGTCAGGGCCTGCTGCTCTCCCTCGTTTCAGATTTCCTATGGCTTTTTCAACTTCATAAAGAGACGGAGGACCTACATTAACTTGCCATTCAGGTTGACTGGAGATCGTGGGAAACCGAAGTGTGGCTGAAGGCCAGTTGAACTGATCCCTAAAGTATTCTGCCCATCGATCCAATCTCCTGGATTGAGAATGAATAATATGTCCATCTTTCTCTGAGATTGTTTCGCTAACAGTCGGGTTCCTAATTCCGGTTTCCTTAACGAGTCTAAACAATTGTCTGCTATTACCTATTGCCGTTGCCTTTTCCATCTCTCTTGCTTTCGCTACCCACCACTGTTCGCGATCATTGCGTAGACTTCTTGTCAGTTTGCGCTTAAGCTGACTCCGCTCTTCACTATGTTCAGAGCCAGGTGGAATGAGTTTCCGAGCATCTATCAGTGCGATAGATGCTGCTGAGATCCAGTGTTGCTCCCTAACCTTGTGGTTTACCTTACTAACAGATATCACTGCTGTTTCCACAGCTTTTCGGATATCATTCCATGCTGCCTCGGGGTGGGCATCACATACATGACTTCCTAACTGTTTTCCTAGTTGCTCCTGAAATATACTCTTAGCTTGACTATCATTAAGTAGGCCCCTAAGAGGTTTCCTTGCAGCGTTTTTCCTACGTCCAGTAAGACGCAGGCAAATACGCGCTCGTACTAGAGCATGATCTGAATCTAGGCATGTGCTCCAGAATGAACGACAGTCTTCTATCGAGCCCCTCCATCGGTGGCTGATAGCGATGTGATCTATTTGGGTCCAACGTTGGGACGAATTAGGGGGTCGCCATGTTAAAAGATGTTTTTCCTTATGCTTAAAGTTAGTATTTGCAAGGAACAGGCGGTTATCTGAGCATAGCTGCAACAGACGGTCGCCATTATCTGTTCTTTGAGCCACGATACTATAAGATCCACCCAGGTGTCTTTCCCTATCGCTTAGTTTACCTACTTGAGCATTAAAGTCACCGGCCACTATTACTACATCCGAGCGCTTAGCTTTTCGGAGAAGGTCCGAAAGCTTTCTGTAAAACTCATCTTTTACATCATCTGAGCTGCAGTCAGTGGGAGAATAGGCAGAGACGACGAAGAGGCAACGACGAGTGTCCCTATCTTTCCGGATTCTTACTGTTCCGTTCAGTCGGACAGCGCACAAACGACTGTCTACTGGGATCCACTCTAAGAGAGCTAGTTCTGCCCTAGGACTCAATGCTATACCTACGCCGGCGAGGCCACGGGAAGCAGAATCAGGGCTTCCAGATACACGAAGCGTAAATCGAGTCGGTTCTTTATTTTGGCATGGTGAGGTCAAATGAATGATGCTACTTGGATCCTGTAAACGCGTTTCGGAGACGCAGCACACATCGATGGCGCGAGATTCTAAAGTCCTAGCTAAGGAAGCCTGCTGTCCTATTTGGCACAGTGTTCGGACGTTAAAAGCTCCTACGTGTAGTTTAGAGCGTGGTTTCAGGAGACCAGGAATAGCGTTCCACGTACTCGAATCGTTTGCCCTACCGGTGCGAGGTGATAAAGAGACGTGAGGAGGGTTAGTCATGGAGATAAGAGAGGCATTAGGTGTAGGAAGGATTTGAATGTGACCAACTTGGTCTCGCGTGCTGTTACGGGGTATGAGGGCTGATGTCACTTCCCGGCTGCCCACACCGTGGAAGGGTATTTCTTGAGGAACCTGAAAAGGAAATTGGATTAGTGTTGGTCTTAACGACCTGGGAGCGTGACCGCAGAGCCCAAGGGACAACTGCTTGAGGCCGGTCGCGCACGGCCTTTTTGTAGAAGGTTTTTGACGTGTTAGCTCCGTTCTTCAGATGGCCTTACCGCCGGAGACGGAAATCCGTGAGGTAAGGTGAGGTGTGACATTTTTAGGGTCGACCTTTTCTAACCCCACCCCTCCTTGTGGGAAGGCAGCATCGCTGTCATGCTGATCGTCCGAAGGAAACACCTTACTGCTGTCACACCTCTGTACAGTCAGCAGTACGACTTCGCCCTCAGACTTTGAGTAGCTGCTTTTAGTCTTACCATTCACCAATCGACCTGCCTGGCATGGTAGAACCTACAGGAACACATGTTCCAGCCAATATAGCTCGGATGGGTCATCACGATAGGCAAGCCCGACCACCACGTCAAGGTAGCAGCTTCGGTCGGGGTAGATTTCTGTACTTGGCTTTGAACCATGCTTTATCCGTAAGGGCTAGTGATAATACCCAGTTGACTATACAGAAATAGGTGAAACAGGACTCCAGTCCACAACCTGGTGATTGAAAATCAAACGCCCTAACAAGCAGACTACAACAGTATTACTAATGTAATGTTCTCACTGAATGTAAGCAATCGGTCAAATACAGTTACAGATACTTATCCTAAATGGCTCAGGTTGTCTGTAGTAAGTGATTCAGTTACCCAAACTTGACCGAACAAAACAGTAAGATGAATAGAATCTAAATCAATTTACCTCTGATGCTGTTGAAAAGATTTTTTTAGAGTTTGTATCAGAAAATTTGATAACCTCGTGAAGATTATGTCCGGAAGAAAAAAATCTTCCTTCACCAGTAATCACTAAAGCTTTAATATTCTGCGACAACTTGATCGAATCCAAAACCATGAGAAGTTCTTTCATCAACGGTAAAGAAAGTGAATTAGCACTCGTAGGATTATTCAACGTTAGAATATGTACCTCGTTATCGACCGTCGCCGATTTAATATAAGACTTGAAAATTGGAATAAATAACAAGTAAAGAACAAACCATATGTCGTACGAATCGGAGACGAAAACATGAGAACAATTTCGATGGGTTTACACATAATACACAGGGAAGGTTCATTGTAGTTTAGTCAATATAGTGATGATTAGAATTAGTCTAAAAATGGAGGAAACAATAAACAGTGGTAATTTATTTCATTTTGAACAAAGGACTTGTAGATGGTCAGGAGGAAACAAATATTACATTCTTAATCCTGAAAAACTTGAGGAAATCAGTAAGCCACATTGAACATAGCCCTATTACTGATAGAGACACGTTAGTAGATGGAGTTCCTACGATCAGGTAAGTTTTGAAAAACAAAAGCTAACCTTTCAGCAAAATCATAGGCCCTACGACTAAATCATACATACTATGACTCATACTGTGTAATGAGACCTTATTTGTTAATAGGCCACTATATGGTATTAACCATGTTTTATTTCACCATAGTAATTAGTCAGTATACAAGAATATGAATAAATACTTTGGGCACAAACTCAGTAGAGAAGCATTTCAAGTGACACATTTAATTATGCATAACGCCAACTGTCAGGATGTTTAGCACAGATGAGTAGCTTGATGAATATGATGGTATTTCACTAGTCATACGTGCTCTAGATAAAATAATTGGTGAATGATGGGGTGGGTTTAGTTAAAAATATCTCCGAGGAAACTTTGCTAACATTAAAAGATTTTAAAACCTCAAATAGCTGCTCATCAGGCTTTTGGATTCTTCCTGGACCATGAAACACAGCAGAATGTGAGTAAACGGCACAAAACAGTTTACAACAAGAGGATATCGACTAGTAGTGTTCCTTTCTAGATGAGGAAAGCATGAAAGTAATATTTATATCATGAAAAGCATGAATTTCAAGTCGAGGGCGTTTTATTCTGTATGCTTACCGAATTCAATTGTTTTATTAAGTTCGGCTTGTAAACAGAGGATGTTAGAGTGGACAAGTGTTTTCGATAAGTTCAGACCCTACAATTACAAGTTTATGACAATTGTACTAAATTAGACAAAAAATATGTATATAAACGTTCTGGCTGAATTAGTCAGTACTGTAGATAGGAAATAATAGATTTTATGCCTATTGAGTCTCAGATGCAAAAGTCAGTAGAACCGTGAAGCCCATACAAAAAGGGTCAAGAAAAACTAACTGCCCCAAGGCGATGACTTCTAATCGATAAACTGAAACTTTCCGGGCCAAAACTTGATACAAAATATAAATTAATGTGAGAAAGATAGTAATTGTAATGTTAATTATTAGTAGTAGTAATATCGTATAAAATAAGGTGGATGTATGATTAACATGAAAATGCCATGTGTGTAATAGAAAGGGCATAATTGCACTAATATCGTTGAACGTAATAGTTTTAATATCACAAATCCGTCCAATCTGTCCCTCATTGTGATGTGCAGGAAACAAATTAAAAATGGAAAGTCATGGTAACTGATGGATGGTGAAGGCATGACAACGTGCACAAATGAAATATTCATCGATCGGGCTTTAGACGATTGCAGAGAACCGTCACTACATCACCTTGGAGCTACCAAATGTTTCGCAGAACGACGGTTGTAGGTGTACGAAAAAAACTGATTGGTGCACAGCAGCGAGAGGGCTATGATTGTCAAAGAGATACATGTATTTTTGAGTGTCATACGGTATCAGGGGCGTTTCTAACTTCAAAGGACAATATGCCCCCCAAATGCCCTGGTACGGCCGAGAGTGGGGAGAGTCCGCTCTCCCTCTCGAAATACTCTCACACGGCCACGCGTATATAGCCTCTGCCAGGGAAGTCCTACTCACTGCATTCTCCTACCAGGGGTGTTGTTCATGAAAATGAGAGGACGAAAAGCGAATGTCCGGCGCTTTAACCGGATTTCAAACCAATGGTGCACATGGGCTCCAGTATCCTGCGGGAACAAATGGCGAATGAACCTATTGTTGGTCACCGGCTTCCATGGGACTGCATCTCCTTACGATGCTCCACTGCCTTGTGGATCAGACCTTCAGGTCGAAGGCTCGGGGTGTGGCCTCCTGAGAAAACCACCTGCTTCAGTTTGGGCACCCGGGCAGTATCACAGCCCTCACACACATCGAATGAGATTTGTGTGGCGCATATGTATTTGGTGCCTCTTTGTACCATTATCTATGTGTTGAAATAAATAAATAAGGACAATATAATCCGTCATCGAAAAGTCAGGTAGCTGATGAGAACCCCAGTGACGCATGTACCGAAGTCCAATAACTAAAAGATAGTACGGTATCGCATTGTCCTAGAAATCAGTCGATAATCTGTTTACGAGCGCTTGGAATAAAGTCTTCGTAGTCCAACTCGTCCATCAGTCAGAAGGTAAAGAAAACAGTAGTTGATCTTGGTACCTCGCAAAATTGAGTCTCTCTTACTACACTCAGATCGAAATGAGGTGCTTGTAAAGCGCTCCGACGCACAGGTAAAGCAACTTCTGGGAGTCTGGATTCTATTTATTTATTTATTTAGACACATAAACCCTAACTCTATTTCTTAACCTTAACCATCAACTGTAAATCACAATTCTAATTCCCCACACTGGTTTATAGTCCTCATTTGTTCGTAGTTATTAAGCAGACACTCTCAAGGTCAGTCTAGCTTCGCTCATAGGTCGTCCATAAATTATAGTCTCTCCGTCCTCTCAATTTCGTAAATAACACCCCTACTGCGAGAAGGCAGTACGTAAAAGTCTGGAGGGCACCAATAACGAGGTATTATGCAGAAGTTAACAAATCACGAGAACGGATGACCGTACTTTTGATGGAAGGGAGGATGCATACAAGGACGAGCAAGCCCTACATGGACTGAATGTGCGAGGCAATATAGACATTACGTCACATGAAAACCACAGTTCGTAAGCATTCTTTTTTACAACTGAGCCAAATAATTTGATCGCTGGCTAGTAAGCTGCCAAGGGTGGGAAGACTGTGTGATAAGGAACGTCCGCTTGACCATGAATATGCCAGGCCCCGACTCCAACACGATATATTAAGTTAAGACTAATGGATTTATAACTCTAACGAAGATTTTGTGCCTGACGTATGCACAGACTAGCGTTTATGAAGAATTCTGAGATAAGGGAAAAAAGGATTAAGCCAATTGACTTGATCGACTCAATAAATAACTGGGTTACACTAACATTCAGTGATGAAAGTAACCGTCCAAAAACCACAATAGTACAGGAGAGGGAATAAGGCAACATTACAAGAACAACTGGAAGTTTTAAGGTCGAGAATCTGATAACGTTACAAAACCTCGACTTATAAGTCAACAAGCAAGAGTAACGCACACTACAAAAACGCCGGGTTCTTGCAGCCAGTCGTCAATAATAAGAAAAGTAAATCGATTGACCTCCGTCAATCCATAAAGATTACTTTTCGATGGAAGTTAGGTTTGTCACTAAAAATGTTGGGTTTTGGAGTTGTTAACGGCAGTGACATGTAAATTTATTAGTTTTTGTGTTTGTATCAAAATATTTTGTCCCTTTATGACATTGTGTATGTAATCATATCTATAATGAGCTTAAGTTGTTTATATGTGTCATCTGTGATAAATTTTCGTATGTTGTCTAACTGATCCCACATTAATTTCTATGGTATACAAATAAACTCCTATTTACGTAGTTTCAAATAGTTCAAATGGCCCCAGTGTCCTTATCCTTTTGGAGTGAGGTAGGAAATACTGTTTCCGTACTCTAAATGAGGACGAATGAAACTGTTGATGATTATGCGGTAAGTTCTACCGCCAAACTGGACAATGTTACCAGTGCAAGGTTTGCTCAAAGGCATTTTTGCCACAATAAGCGTAACACTTCAAGCCATAGGGTACCAGCACTCCTAACTCTTTTTCAACTTATGATACTTCTAGAAAGGAGTTTCCTAAGTTGTAATTGTAGACAGCAACATGTTTCAGACGAACCACGTTACACTTTAAAATGTTAAAGGTAAGTCCGTTGTCATCTGCCCAACTTTGAAGTCCAGTCAGATCCTCCTAAAGTACCAGTATGTACTCTTGGTAGCGAATCCCTCTCCAAAATTTCACATTTCCAGCAGAATTAATAAATCAGACGATACTCTTTATGGAAGACAGTTTGTGTAAATCAAGAAAAGAAGAGGTCCTAGTACTGAATCTCAGGGGACCCCACAAGGACATTCCATCGCCCGAGAAAAAGTGAAGTTAATCCCGACCTTAAAATATCTATTTTTAGGTGTGAAGTGAGCCAATCAGTTAGAGGTGATTTGACATCCAATCGTTAGAGCTTATTGATAAGAAATATATGGTTGACTCTATCAAAAGCTTTTGAGAAGTCAAGGTAAATGACATCAACCTTCCCCTTGCTATCAACCATGGTTGTCCATCTGTCAACCCTTCCTGAAACGATGCTTCTGGGGTGGGAGGAAGTTTAAGGTTAATAAATAATCGTGTATACCGTCGTATATCAGGGACCCCATAATTTTTGAAGGTTTAGAGAGAAGAGCCACCGGTCTGCAGCTTGTACGTTCGTTGTGAGCCAGCTTCCGAACTTCCGATAATGCACCTCTGCTTAACAAGTGTGGGAAAATCGCGCTAAGCAGTGTTGTCAGGATGGAGTGCTTTCCCCAGTATAGCAGAATGAACCATATCCAGACCAGGAGAAGTGTTTTTTCTCATGTGCTGCAGTTTCCGGTACAGCAAGTCAGTGCTCAGATTCATTTCGGAAAGTCCTGTGCAGCTGCATGTGAAGTCTTCATCAACATAGGTAATATGGGTCAGTTGAAATGTCCGAGAGTATTGTTCAGCCAGAAGGTTAGTGGTGTTGCTGTCGTTATCGATCGAGTCATTAGGACCAAGCCGTTGGGAAACTCCAGTTTTGGCTTATCGAAGCGAGGCTGTATAAAGGAATAAGCTTTTCGGATTGGAGACAAATTTATCCATAAGCTTTATCTGGCACTGAAGCCTGTCTTTTCTTATTGCCTTTGTGCATATGTTCGTTATACGTTTGTATTGCTTGTACGAGCGATGTTGCCAACTCTTTTGTATCCTACTTAACAGTGCATTTGGGGCTTAGCTAATAAAAAGTGTGGTTCTTGATAACTGTAGGTTGCTTGTAGGTTTCAAGGACCATTTGAGGAACAGACTGCATTGTAGCACATAAGAACGTGTGAAGTAAGAAGTTCCAATGGGCATCCACATTAAGTTGAGGGTGAACATCCCAATCCACCTGTTGTAAATAGTCCTGTAGACCTGATGCATTCAACCATCCCAAATTCCAGCGCCTGTTGTTAGTGGGATGTCTTAGCTCAGTTTTGCTGATAAAGCTGAAGGCTATGACGGCGTGATCACTTCTCCCAAGTGACGGCATCTGACTGTTTCTCTAATGAGTTACAAACTTAAAATTTCCAATAATCCCAGATCCTCAGGTTGAAGAACTGAGCTTCAGTCAAGTTTTCACCTCCAATACACGTATGTTCCGCGAAATTGACTTTAGGAAGATTGAAATCCCCTATAATCAGGATATGAGTGAATCCGAGGCGAGATAATTCTTCCAATAGACTACTGTCATACTCAATATCAACTATGGGTTTCCTGTAGATGACTCACACTATACATCTCGAGGTCGTAGACAATCTTACTGAGCACCATACAGATTCATAAAGATTCATAAACCCTTGGTTGTGCACTTGATGGACCTCCAGGCAGGGTCGTAAGTACAAGGCTACTCCTCCTCCAATTCCCGTTTTCCTGTAATCGCGAGACAAAGACGTCCTGGGTATTGATAGCTCGTGTTCCGGAGACTGTGAAGATGTTCAAGTTTCAGATATTCCTATCTGATGAGCATTATTGGCATTGTTAATATCACGTAGCTCATCCATTTTATTTGGTAAACTCACAGAGTTTATGTAGAAACAGTTTATGCTTTTAATTTGAAATTCGTGAGCTTCTCCTTCTTATTTTTCTGTATGAGCCCTACGTGAATGGACAGGCAGCCTACCTATAAAAAGCATTCCTAGTTGATAGCCACTGTCCTTCACATGTGTTTTTATGATCAAGGCAATTCACAAGTGGATTGAACAGCTCCAGTTTTCCTTTGAGCTTGACCCTGGTGTCATGTGGTCTATCCGGATGCATATGGATTCCAGTCGGCAACCGACGTCTGTTTGCACGAAATGCTTCCAGAGTTGCAGCCGCCATATAGGAGGATGTGAAAGTTATCTTCATTAACCGGGGTCTAGAATCTCCGTCCTTCTTGGCTAGTCTCGTCACCCGTTGAGTCAGTATATTTTTAAGCGTCAAGGATTGCTTAATGAATTTCCATTCCCTAATATCAGAGTTTGTGTAACCAAAGTTCGTGTTTTCCGGTACGCCCTGCATAATGACATTTCTTCCACGGATAAGCTCGCGAGATTCCTTAAGAATTTTGCTGATGAGATTGTGCTCAAGATACGGTATGTCATACAGTATTTTCACATTCCCATCTGATTTCAGTAAGTGACTAGTCATTAGAATATTCTCTATATCTGTAGCGTTAGTGAGTGTTACACGAAGTAGCCCCGAGTGATTTTGATGCTGAGAGTCCTTTTTCCGAGTGAGCAGTGTGACTGTCAAAGGTTCTATTTTGTGAAGTCCGAACTTCTTGTTCAACTCTTCCCAGAAAACCCTAACATGTTTTCCTGCAAAGTGAGTAGAATATCAGGGTTGTCCTTAAGATTCATGGTTATGAAACAATCATCACTAGCCGTTATTGTTTTCCCAGGTTTTCGGGTGAGTCCAGGTCGAGGACCTTGTTGTTTGTAGGTAGAGCAGCGTTTCCGATTCCTAGGCTTGTTGCTGATCAGATGGACATTCTTGGGGGTAAACTGTTCAGCCAAAACACTGGTTGATTTCCCTACAATACTTGGGATGTTCAGCTTCTTAGACAGGGACGCCTGGTCGTTTTGACTTTGTTAGCGGGGAGCCAACCACCCACAGAGTTTTCGGGAACCACCGTCGCATTCAGGGAACCTGTGCTGTGAAACCAAAGTCTGCTGAAGGAGTCTATTATCGTAGATGTTATGATGGTGCTGAGTTTCAACATGTCATCACTAGTGTTATTACATGCTCCATTGATAGTAGCTCCGTGGAGATCCATTTTCTTGGTTTCATATCGCGTCCTTGTCTCTCTACCCGTTTTATGACTGTCTTTTTCTAAGATTGAGGACAACGTATTCCGCAGACCTGTCAATAGGACAGTGATGTTGCTCAACAAAACGTCGGCTTTCCTGTTGCATCTATGATCTGACTTATTGAGTCTGTTGTAGGTAGTTACTGTGAGATCTGTGCACGCATCGTGGAACCAACCTTCGCAATTGCCGCAATGCATGCCAGATGTAACAGCAAAACGGCATCTGCGTTGTTCGCATGAATCTTTCGTGGCTATGGTGACGTAAATTGTTTTGTTGATCCCGGCAAAAGCCTAAGACCGTAAAAATGAATCAAAACGGGTGGCACAAAAGGTTAGGATAAACTGGAGCTAGCTTTGACATGAACAGCCGAAAAACCGAATTGTAAGCTGAGGCAAAACCACAGTTAACTATTAAGTTGGGTAATGGTATTTTTTGCATAAGAACACAACAAAAGTTTGAGAAACGCTAGTCATGTTAAAACTATACTTCTCGTTTGTAAAGCGTGCGCGTAACGTTGTAAATCACTAACGTAGATGATCTATGTTAAATGATTGGTGGCCTACCTGAGTTAGACGGGAATGTTGTGACCAATTGATAACGTTAAATTCAAACATTGAGGTCAGCACCTAATGTGGATTAACCCTTCGTCGTATCAAGGTACTATGGATGGTTTGAAGACCCTGTATTACATAGGACGTTATTACAGAAATATATTGGTTGGAGTAGTTACAAGTGAAAGCGTGACCACTACTGTACGGGCCAGTCCATGGCTTACGATTGACCGACGCGCGTTGTTTGTCCTTTGACCCTGAAAGTGACTGATGATCTGTTCGATATTCAATGACCCAACTGCTGAATAATTTGGCTAGGGCGCAGTAACATCTCACTAGCTCTACACAGTTATCTTTCACCCATCAAAGTAGTTTGGCTCTGTTGATGATAGAGACCTACTCGAGTAGAACGAGAACTGTATGATATTCCAGCTCTCATCAAGGCCCACACATCGCAACGAATGCATTGTCTAAATTACCCACATTGTGATAACTACGTGTATCGGCCACCCACGTGACTTGCCAGAATAAATACTGTTGTTGATAAAAACGGAATTTATGGGTAGGGAAAGACCAGTGAAATAGAGAGCATGATCACTACGGAGTTCTA